GAACGAGATGAGACAAGTTCATTTAAAAAGCCTGGTTTGTCATTGTTTATCTAATTTTCCGAGTTGACACACAAAATTAGGCTGGCTGACACTCACGCTGGGGCTAGCCCCGGCCCCGTCCTGCCTGACCTTTCCAGCTCCGAGCTGCCAGGCGGATGCAGAAATCGCTGCCTGTCCCACCGAGCTGGGCTTAGGCAGGCACGGGGAGAGGTTTGGTGTTTGTTTTTCAGTGTATTTAGGGGGCCAGTTAGCCCAGTGGGTTGAGCACGATGCTGACAACAATGACAACACCAAGGTCGCGGGTTCGATTCCTGCTCGATCCCCGTGTGTTGCCTGGTCTAGTCGAGAGGTGCCGTCCCTGCCCATGTCAGGGAGGTTGGACTAGATGATCTCTGAGGTCCCTTCCAGCCTATGCTATTCTATGATTCGATGATTTTTCGCTGCTTGGGTTCTGCTGGGTACACACGTCACCTCATGTTTTTAAGGCCATTTTATTTGCCGATTCGCAACGTAACGTAAGTGGCCGCTGCCTGGGGAGGGGGTGAGGGTGAGGCTGAGCTGGGCTGGAAGCCAGCTAACGTGCCCCCATCACAAAAACGGATGGATGGATGGATGGATGGATGGATGGTGCAGAAAGGATATGCACGCTGCACCAAGAAGAGTGGAATCTCGCCAGGGCAGTGAGAAACCGACCACGGCGACAGAAAATGTATTTTAAGCTCCCACGCGTTTAATTTTTTTCAGTGTTACCTTGCAAAGCAAAATAAATCTATTCGGGAATATTTTAAGTACAGCAGGTTGCTTGCGTTTGTTGCAAGAATATATTGCTCACCGTTGAAGTCAGGGCTGGGACTTTTATTTGTAGCTGAGGCAGTGACCAGAATTTATTAATAGTGTCCAAGCTATTCTGACTTTCATTTTTTTTCTTTCCTGAGGTGATTTTTTTCTCCCAGCCCCATCATGCACCCCAGCCATGCACTAGACCTGGAGTGGTGCAGCTGCATTTTTCCTTTGACAGTTTTGGTTTTCACCTGGTTTGGTTTTCCCTTTTTTTTTTTTTTTTTACCCTTGTTCCTTCCTTCCCTCCCTCTGTAATCTCCCTGTGCCTTCTCTTCCCTCTCCCTTCCAAAGATAACTCCAGTTTAAGGCACTGTTTTTTGAGGTACATGTGTTTTGGACTGCAGGATTTAATGGTTGCAGTACTCTGGGTGCCTGAAAAGGGGAAAACAGGGGACTAGATGCTGAATAGTGGTAAAATGCATGGAAGCTGTTGGAGTGGCTTCAGGAAGAAGTTGCTGAGAGCAGAGGGGACTGCTGCTGGTGCAGACACGATGGTTGGAGGCTGGAGGAAATCTTAAATGAGACATTTCTGGATGCTAAGCCAACCCAAGTCCCTCCTATGTAGTTTGAGCTGCATTTTCATTTCCAATATTGCTGCATGTGGGCATGTCTGATGGCCTCGTGCGTTATCCCCAACTCCATATCACTCTTCGGTGTGTGTTTTCGTTGTGGCTGCAGGAGTGACCACAGCAAGCAGGATGTTGCTGAGTGAGGTGTGATCTAGTGGGGTTGGAAGCAGCAGAGTGGCTTGGGCGTAGACTTCAGCACAGGCTCTGCCCGTGGACGTTGCACGTCCCTGGGCTGCTTGTGACCGTCTTGCTTTTGGGGCTGTCCACCAAGATTTGCAAAGACCAGGCCTGCTGACGCTGTGGTTTTAGCGTTGGTGCAAATCTCATTTCTCCCATTCCCCACTTAAAAACAAACAAACCAAAAAAATGCCTCGCCACATTCTGAAAAATGGCTTCTAGTAAAAACATCGCTTCAACCTGAGAAAAATCTTGACTAGAGCAATATGGTCTGAAACCATGGGAAGTCTAAAGGGTAGGTTCAAGTTAAACTTGTCCCCTTGAGGAGGAGTGTCTAAAAACCCGGGCTTCAGTAGAATAACCTCACAGAACAAAGCAAACGGGCTGGCTGATGTTTTCAACCTCGCATAGCCTGCGATTTCCCTTTGCCTGTTGTGAGTAGCTTACACGTGAGGATCTACCGGGTCTGAGATGTCGTCCTCTGCGGGGAGTCTCTCTGCCATAAAGGAGATTCATGGGAGAAGCGGGCTGGCTTTAATAGCTGGTTTTTAATTGCCCCAATGCATCTGCTTTTCCGTGTCTGTGGGCTCTTGATTGTTTTTCCCTGTTCTCCCCAGCATCCTCAACTCTTGTTTTGTTTAAGAGGCGAAGCAGCTACTTCTGGGCTATCTTGCTTGTAGTAAGCCTTTACCTTGGTCTCGCACCTTTTGCACCCAAAAATACCAAAGTGCTGGGCAAAAAAACCCCGCCCGCTGATTCTCATGAGAGAACAGAGTCATTTATTCCCTTTTCAACCACAAGGCTGAGGAAGATGAAGCAGCGTTGTGAAGGTCGTGCTGGAAAATGAGTGGTGCTTTGGGAATAAACACCAGGACTCCTGTCTCTGGGGTCCCAATCCTGAATGGTTTTCGTAGTAAAACTGAGAGTATTTCAGATTGAATTTGTTTAGTAAAACGATGACTTCCAAACATATGTGGGGTGTCTGGAGTAGGTTAAAAAAAAAGGGTGCTGTCTTTGGCGTTGTCCCTGATGGTTGACGTTCAAGACCAAAGCTGAAGATTTTTAGTAGCCAGGTGTTGGAAGGAGAAAGACACTGTCCATATGCTCAGCGCCGCAAGCATCTGTGTACTTAAATGTGTCATTTTAAGATCATCCATCTTCTTTTGGTGGCATTGAGCTGTCTGCTGCCATCCTCAAAGCTCTTGAATGGATTCTGGTACCTCTGGATATGTTCTTCCTTGGAGGACAATTTTCCAAGCAGCGACTGAGTGTGAGCTCACAGGCATCCGCCTGGGTGGGAAATTCAGAGCACTCTGACAAATTTCAAGTTGCTGCCTACAGCTAAGAATGGCTGAAAGGAAGCAATTTGCTTCAAAAAAATTGAATATTGGGGGAAAACATCTATTTCTGTAGCAGTACAAAGAGCGGACTCAGAAAGGTCGATTACAATGGCAGGTCGCAGCTGCCCACAATTTCAAAGGCCTGGAGATAAAATTAAGGGCTGGCAGCTTGAGCCTGGTGGGAAGTATGGATAAACTTGAGCAGGGGAAAGCGAGTTCTTCGAGCTGACTTTGCTTTGGAAAACTGCAGTGGCAAGAGGGTCACGATTAGAAATAAAACACTCGAGACGTTTGTAGCTCTTCACAGCACAGTCCGTGTCGTGTTCTCCTCATGGGGGGCCTCCTGCCTAAGTCGCGCCGCCGGAGTATTCCTTCCGTCCTTCCTCTGTGAGATTAACTGGGAAGGCAACTGAGCTGGTCCCAGTAAGATGTGAAGAAGGGCTCCCCCTGCCTCAGACTTCCCCCGGAAAAGTTCGAGCTGAGAGTTCCAGCCACTCCAAAGAGTAGAAGCAACAGCATCTCGCGCTTCCTCCGTAATCCTTGTGGATAATGGCATGTTTTGTTCCTGTGGCTCCCGCGTTGGCTGGCCCTGGCCCGCGGAGTGTTTTATTGCCCAGAGCTGATGCTGCCGAGGATTTATTGTGCTCTGTTTAGCCCGGGGCTGCTTCGTCGCTCCGCTCGGTGCCATCCTCCCCCAGCCGACCACCAGGCTTGCTGGGCCCCGCGTCAGACCCGTGAGCCCACTGTGGCCGGCGTCGGGCTGCGCGCGCCGGCAATTCCCACTCGTACATCACCCTCCACCAAGGCTCCCCCGCGGATCTGCTCGTGATTCCTTTCAGGCGTTGTTTGCAAGAGCTGTGACGTTCAGCCTTGCAAAAATCCGAGCTGCTTTTTTGGGTGATTTGGAGTAGAGGTTTTCATCATCCGTGATGGTTTCTCCTGGCGATTGCTTTCTTTCAGTCGTTTCTGTAATTGCAGTGCTCGGTTTCCTGTGGATTTTTATACTTCATTTGAGATTCATCTGAAGATGGCATGTTCCCATCTCTAGGAATGTGGCCAGATTGAGACACGAGCTGCCTAAGCTGGCTGCTGAAATTGCAGGCCGTATTTTTCCTCCATCCTGAGATGCCGTTCTGGTTTTCCAAGGTGTCTAAGACACAGTCTTCCAGTGCCTGCGGTAGCCAAAATATTCATGGCCAAGAATATCGTATAGTCATCCTTGCCATCATATTGAATTCCCACAGTAGCTTCTCATGGAGCTCAGTTATACTTAGGTGAGTTTTTCCATTCTGTATCAGTGAGACAATTACTTGAATGAGCATGAACAAATCCCTCTCTTTACGAGCGCTGCACAAAAAGGAATTTAACACTTGCAGGGATATTGGTGGGGTGTTTGGCTGGGTTTTTTCCCCTAGGTAATTTGTAGAACTGTCTGTCTGAGGGATGCCTGTCCACGAGATAAGGCGTAATGATGAAAGTCAAGGACGCGCATGTCAGCGAGTTGCTGCGTGTTGTCGTGTGGCACGGGCCAGCCCCTGCCCTGCAAACGAAGCAGTTTGGGCTGTGAACACAGATTTCCTTCCTGACAGAGGAGAGTGTCCCATTAATGCATGTGGGAGAGGTGCACAAGGGGGCTGTTAGAGAGAGAAACTTTAAAATTAAGAGATCACGGACCTTTACAAGTGGGTGAGTGGTTTTGGCAGGGTATCTTTCCACCAAAACACCGTTTAGCAGTTGAAAAGCCCGGCAGGCCAGCCTAGAAAGGAGCTGGTTCAAAACATAATAGAACACAAGAAGAAAAAAAATTTAAAATCAGTATTTTCAAGGAGTGCTAGGCCAAGGCCTCAGTAAAGAGTCTGGGTTCCCCCAGCCCTCCCTTCTCTGCAGGAGCAGCGTATGTTGGATAATATGGATCCAAGAGGAAGTTCACTGGTTTCAATCACTCGTTTATTGCCTTTTTATGACGGTAACCAATGTATTTTTTTTAAAGAAAAAAAGCCGACGAACTTCTTTGGGTTTTCACGGGGAGGGTGTTGTGTTGGCGTTGGCTAACTCTGCCTGTCCCCCTTTGCAGGGCCACCCGTTCATCGTGCAGTACAACGACGGCAACGCCGAGGTCGTGTCCATGTGGGTGTGCAGGATGCTCGAGGAGCGGCGATCGGCCCAGGGCCCGCAGTGAGCGGCACGGGCGCACGGCCTCCACCTGCAGCACCAGCCCCGCGCTTCGAACTCGGTCTCTCTCTGGATCCCGTTTTACTAAAACTATTTTCTAGAAGCATCGACAAAAATCTTTCGGGATGTTTGTTGCTGCCTTCCCCTGGCCACCACATTAACAAATTCTCCTCCCACGTTTCTTTTATTGCTGAGCAGTTTTATGTCCTCAGATTATCTTCAGTTAAACTGTACACAGCCTTAAAGCAAGTATTTTATATCTATATTTTTTTTGTTATTGAATGTATTATATATTTCCTGGCTCCAGAGTATTTTTTTAACTGCCAGTCTTTTGCTATTGTACGAATGACACGCTGAGTGTTCAGAGGATGTCGGAAGGAGCTGTTGGCTGTCTTTGGGCGCAGGCATCCACAAAATGCTGGGTTTAAATTTAAAACAAAAGCAAACAAACTAAACAAAAACCAAGCAGGGGTATCTGGAGTTGCCCAAGGAGGTAAGGGGGTTGCCCTTCTGGAGTAAAAGCCTGGCAGGCAGAGCAGCACCGCGCGGTCGAAGGGCCGGCGGTGCCTCTCTCTGCTGCCGTGCCTGGGCTTTGCTGGGAGGGCCGGGCAAAAAGACGACGCAATGTGCAAAGAGCAGCCGCGCTCGGGCGCTGCGGGCTGGTCCGTAGATGCAAAAAGGTTTTGCTGAGGTGGAAAAGAGGTGAAGTGAAAGAGGACAGTGCTCTCCTCGCTGGGGAGCAGGCCTGCTGGGGGGTGAACAGCCTCGGAGCCGGGATGGGCCGTCAGGAGAGCAGCTCCGGGCATGGGGAGTTTGCGAGGTGTGAGCTTCTCTTTCAGGTCCCTTCCAGCTCAAACCATTCTGGGGTTCTGCCCGTGACGCGCGAGGAAGCCGAGGGCCACAGCGCGGGTTTTGCAAAGCTCCCGCGGGTTTTGGGAGGGGAGGGAGGGTCGGCACGGGCGCCCAAGGGGTGCTGTGCCGCTCGCCCTCATGCCCAGAGGACAGGCTGCAGGGTGTGGGTTATTCTCGCAGTGGTTTATGGCTTGCTTGGAAGGCTCTTGCCTTTCTCAGCTCTACCTTGACGGATTATTTTCTTACGTCGGAGTCACTGCCCGATGGGCGCGGCTGGGTCAGGCAAAGGCTCCCGGGTTTGCTGTTGCCATGAAGAAGGGCTGCAGTGTCTCTGCTGTGTATTTGCTGCTCCTGCAGATTCTGTGTATGTTTCTGCAACGGACTGACACAGATTTAGTCAGTCCTTGTGTTAAGAGTCTTATTAAAAAAACCCAACAAAACACAGAAGAGAGGAGGGCAGTGAAAGATGGAGTTGGTGTGTGTGACTTGCATGGGGGAGGAGGTTGAGGCTTTTGTTTGCTTGTCGTTGCATTAGAAATAAACTTTTGCCAAAAAAAAAAAAAAGAAAAAAAGCTCAGGTAGTTTTTTATATACCAGCAGCTTAAAAAGAAAAAAAAACAAACCAATTTGGTGAAAAATTCCTCCTGCACCACTGCAAATCCTAAATGTTACTCTGAAAGCAGCCTGGAAAAGACTTTGTTTCCTTCCTTGGAGGGATCGTTTGTCTTCTTTTGAAGTATAGAGGTTGCAGGCATGAACTTATAGACTAAAGTTTGTCTTAATTGCTCTGATGTCACAACCTCCCTGGCAGATAACAGTACAACGAATGAGTCAACAGCCCCTGTGCCTCCAGGTCCTTTTTCTAAAGTGAGACAAATTTCTTCCCTGTGAGCCAACCAGACTGTGGGCAGCTCTTCCATTTATTTATCTCTAACAGTTTGCATTGGCTTTCTCTGGATAAAAACTCTCTTCCATGGATCTAGTTAAAAAACAAGGCTTTTTCTATCGCTTTCCTTTAGCAGGGAGAGGAGGTCCAACCTGAACCTCCCCTGGCATAACTTGGAGCCATTTCCCCTCGTCTTGTTGGTTCTAACTTGTGAGAAGAGACCAACACCCATCTCTACAACCTCACTTCAGGGAGTTGTAGAGAGTGAGGAGGTCTCCCCTCAGCCTCCTTCAGACTAAACAATCCCAAGTGTCTCAGCTGCTCCTCATGAGGCTTGTTCTCCAGACCCTTCACCAGCTTGGTCGCCCTTCTCTGGACCTTCTCCAGCACCTCCTTGTCTTTCTTACCCGCCTAAAATTGAACACAGAACTCAGAGTGGGATCTCACCAGTGCCGAGTACAGCGGTAAACGAACAGCAGTGAGCTGGGGGCTCCCCACACCGTCCCCTCCTGCCTTGGAGAAGATGGCTCTGGAGGGTGGGTCCCCACGGGACCCCTCAGCCCAGTCTGTGTTTCTGCACGGGGATTGCTGGGCGCCCCCTGCCCCAGCACAGCACCTCGCTCTCGCCTTCCCGCCCACCGCCTGGCCCTGCTTCACGATTCAGGCGATTCAGACGGGTTTGTGCCACCACCGAGGGGCAAAAGTAAGAGGAGGGGAGGGGAAAGCAATAAAATCGGGCCAGGATCTAGGCAAATTTAGCTCCCTGTAACCTCAGTCACGGTGGTACCGATCGACCCAATCTCCTGCAGGACTCTGGATGTGGGAGCTCGAGGCCTCTGGGAAAAAAATAGGTATGTCCCAGCTGTGCTAAAACTTTCTATTTTCATTTTTTTTTCTCTGCCAGTGATCCTTGCCAGGTGAAGCTCATCCTGTGAGATGAGCCCATGGTAGTTGGCCCTATAACGCAGAACAGAATTAGAAAATATTTTGTTTCTTGTATCCCGCGGCCAAATGCATCCCGCTGTCAGCTCTCCAAAAGGCAAAGTGTTGGTCTTTGTTTTCCAAATAATAGCCTGGAAAGCTGCGCGTGTGTGTGTGTGTCTTAACACACACACACATTTGGCAAAGAAACTAGAAACAGAATTGCAGCAGGCGGCAGCTTCGAGGGCTGTGAGGAATCTCCGACCCATCCCTCTCCCTGGGCTTAACCTCTGTGGAGCAGGGACGCCGGTGGCCGGCGATGGGCTAACGTTAATAACTGAGCAGTCACTAGGAACAGCTTTGTTTGATCCCTTTGACATCCGAGAGCATAAGCAAAGCGGAGAGGATGGAGGCTGGGAGTGGCGGATGTGTTTTCCTGCCTCGCAGAGCTCTGTGGTCCTGCAGGGAAAGTTGACCCGGAGGCATCACCAGAAAAGAGACAGACTGCGGAGACCCTCCGCCTCCGTGACGCAGGGAGCATGTGGGCAACATCTGAGGCAGAACCTGGGAATTCGGGTCTTAGCTGGCCAAAAAATAATAATAATGACAAAAAAATCTGCTGACAGAGAGCAAAGGGGCAGGACACCCTGGGGGGGACGTTGGCATCCAGCCCCACGGGAGATGCGCCTGGGACCCCCCCAAGGGAGCCTGCAGCCTCATCTGGCGAGGAAGAGGAGGGAGGAGGTGGGTCAGTGAGCAGCAGGGGATGAGATGCTCTAAGCTGGGGCTCTGCTCTGAGGGAGGCTCCATAGGATGGAGAA